GTGTGCCTTCTGTGATAAGACCTAGGGAAGAAGGATCGCGTAACAATATGGCGACTCTGATCAACATTCACAGCACAAAGAGGGTGAGGAGGGTAAGGGTGTGAAAAATCTAGCGAGAGGTATGAAGAGTTCTCATTTAAGCCATACCACATTCAAAATTGTTTGCCACAAAAGGACACACATTTTGACGATTGGAATGTATACGAAGAAAAGTTGTGTTTCGAGTAATCTTTTGTTTCATAATTGTTGAACTTACTTCCATTTCGAGTGGAAATGTTGCGTGAAGAGATTCGATGGTCCGTTCCACGAGAAGACGAATTCACTTCGGGTTTCGTGCATAAGCGAACACAAACATGCACATACAAATACAGCGACAGACACACTCACATGCATAGAAGTTGACACATGACCTTAACCAACCAAATCACTTTATACTTGATCAAAGAGGCCAGATGTAGAGTGTATATACCACTTTTTAGGGATTTGCCGGTGAGTTTTCTTAACTCGTTAGCTTCAATTTTGTTGTGACGATGTTACCTTACTCTGAAGATGTCCGTCAATTGACCTTTTCACCGGAATCGTCAAAGAGACAAATGACGAGAAGTTGTGATAGGGCGGCAGTGGGAGAAAAGGGTAAAAAGTAGATAGATAGGCCAGGACAGAAAGAGGAGTGATAGTGTAACAGTTTCCGGCAGAACGGTTGTCAAGGCATTGACTTCACTTGTCGCTTTGACGAGTTCGTAGTTTGGCCACATTCACTGGGCGCGTTTGAGAATGTATCAAGACCACTGTCATGACAACTACTATGGCAGACGACATAGTCACCCTGACAACAAGAATAAGTTGCGACAACGAGGTCAACCCACATTGATACTACGATATAAAGTTGTGGTTGCTAAGATTGGCAAGACACACTGGCGATGCCGACTACAATGCCGGCGAAACGTATGTGAATGTACCACGTCCACCGTCCACAATGGACTTCGGAGTAGGTGTGTTTCTCTAAGTCTTCCTACCGATATGACCAATTTGCGTAAACAAGGCCGAATAACTTCTATCTACCTGCGACCACACGAAAGGTTGGTTTTCATACCTTCGATTACCAATTTCTTGTGCTTCATTTGTAGGAGTTGTTATAATGCAGCCTCCTTGGGCTGATCTGTACCGCATGACTGACGCCTCAGACCGGGCTGTCGTTGATGGAGCTCCTCAGCCTCCAACTTTTTTCCCTCGACAACTCACTCAAACCCAGAATGAGATACAGTAGCTTTGGTCGTGAATTCTTGGTGTTGTATTCATCATTGAAATGCTTCAAACATATTCTAACTGGAAGACAATTTCACATTTTGACAGATCCAAACAACCACAACATTTGCGGACAAGGCATAGCAAGTCATAGACTTTGTATTAGAGATAGAAACAGGATAGACACGGCGGGTACCGGAGCTAGTTGGCTGACGGTAG